GAAACCTCGGTTTTCTTCTCTATACCCCAAGCTAGGGTTCCAAAAGTCTTAAGGCTTTCTTCTTTTCAATTTTTAAAAATCATCTGGAATTGACCTTCTCAAGGCCCCACGCACATTATATATTATAATTCAATGTTCAAAGACATTACATATCCATACAATGGTTAAAATGACCTATACATCCTAACTTAAACTTAAATTTTATAATGACATTCCCGTGAACAATACTTGTGAAGAGTACTCATGAAATAAATAAGGAAGCTATAAGACCATAGGATCCCTAAAAACTAAAAAAACCTAAAAATAAACCCAAAAACTAAAATCAAAGTATACATCCTGTAAAATTGAACATAAATTAAAAATAAATATAATTTTGCCCCTCATCATTCTCCCCTTGTAGGAAAAAATGCATCCTTGAGTTTTGAAGTGTGCTAAGGTGAATTCAGCATCAAAACCACCTTCTTTTTCTTTGTGAGCTCAAATATTATTCGTGTAAAAAGAAATCCATAAGAAATGGATCTTGATATGTATATTGAAGAATCAATAAAAATTTATCAAATTTAGCTGTTCTTGTACTCGCATTGAAAACCATGTAAGATACTCCAAACTCAATTTCCTGATCTTTAACTATTTTTTGGACATATTTTTCATTACTTTCTAAAATTAGGGCCAAAATTTGTAGATTCTAAGTTGACCATGCTTTCACTACGCCACTTTGATACCAATGCCCTAAATCTCTTGAATGCTCCACCTCGTAAATATTAATGAGATCTTCAAAGGCCATGATTTGGATCAGTCCATCTATTGCCTTATCTTCATATTCTTTACCCTCTTCCAAAATATCTTCACCATCATCTAGATCCTTATCATAGATCGGATCTCCTAAGAAACCTTGTTGTTCATTTGAGTATATATCGAAGATTGATGGTGAATCCCAATTTACAACTTGCTGATTTTCAATACAATTTGTGTCAAACTCAAGAATATCATCCTTCAAATAAAAAACCCTAATGTGATGTTCCCCACATTTAGATCTTTTGTTACTATCCTCATCACTCGCTCCCTGTGCGGAGCGCAAAAGTAAAAAGGCTTATACTCAAGATTCTCTTGGGCTGAAAGATCACCATCTTGCCCATTATTGAGGCTCGTGAATTGCTGCTCTAGCGCTGTAATTTCCTTTCAAGTTCCTCAATTCAATCTACGAAAATCCCCCTTCTACAACCCCTTCTCATTGTCATAGGTTTGTCAAAATCAGAAACCTTAGGCAAATAATTAACAAGAACTGCTGAAATCAGCAAAATCTAGGCTGTTTTGACAAAACTTTGACCAAAATCAGCAAACCCTAGGCCCCACTATAACTTTACCCTCTTTTTTGTCGATCTATGGCGCTAAAAAAAGTGGTGCTATAGTAACTCCGTATGTGCTACAGTAGCTTCCATGCGTGCTACAGGAAATTCTGTACGTGCTACAATAATTCCTATGTAGATCGCGGGCTCTGATACCAATTTGATGTAGGAGAATTTGAGGAAACAATAAAATCAGCAAGAAACAAAGTCGAACACAAGCACAATTCAAAGAAACCTAAGGTTTCTTCTCTATACCCTAAGCTAGGATTCCAAAAGTCTAAGCTTTTCTCTTTTTCAATTTCTAAAATCATGTGGAATTGACCCTCTCAAGGCCCGACATACTTGATGTATTATAATTCAGTGTTTAAAGACACTGCATGTCTATACAATGATTAAAATGACTTATGCATCTTAACTTAAACTTACAGTTAGTAATGACAATTTTGCCCCTGTGAACATTACTCGTGAATAGTACTCATGAATAGTACTTGTGAATGGTACTTATGAAATAAACAAGAAGGTATAGAATTCTTAAAAACTAAAAAACCCTATAAATAAACCCTAAAATTAAATCAAAGTATACATCTTTTAAAATTGGAAATAATTTAAAAATAAGTCTAATATTTTCCCCCATCATTGTTCCCTTGTTGGAGAAAACCCTTCATCGAGTTTTGAAGTGTGTTAAGATGAATTCAGCATCTAAACCTCCAACCTTCTTTTTCTTTGTGGGCTCAAATATCATTAGTAGTAAGAAGAAGTCCATAGGAAATGGACCCTGATATGTATATTGAAGAATTAATATAAATTTATTAAATTTGGTGTATTCCCATTGGAAATCATGTAAGATACTTCAAACTCAATTTCCTGATCTTTAGAGTGTTTTAGGATATCTGATTCATTACTTTTCCAAATTAGGGCCACAATTTGTAGATTCTAAGTCGATCATGCTTTCATTGCACCACTTCGATTTCAATGCCCTAAATCTCTTGAATGCTCCACCCCTTGAATATTAATAAGATCTTCAAAGGCCATGATTTGGATCAGTCCTCTTATTACCTTCTCTCGATATTCTGTACCTTCTTTCAAAATGTCTTTACCATCATCTGGATCCTTATCATAGATCTCCTAAGAAATCTTCTTGTTCATCTGAGTATATATCGACGATTGGTAGTGAATCCCAATCTACAACTTCAATGCAATTTGTGTCAAAATCAAGAATCTCATCTTTCAAATCAAAAACCCTAGAGTGATGTTCCCTACAACTAGGTCTTTTGTTACTATGCTCATCACTCGATTCCTTGCGTGGAGCACAAAAGTGAAAAGGCTTGTACTTGAGATCTTCTTGGCAGAAAGATCACCGTCTTGCCCATTATTGATGCTCGTGAACTGTTGTGCTAGCTGCTGCACTTGCCTTTCAAGTTCCTCAATTATATCATCTATGGGATCACGGAGTGGATTTACGAAAATCCCCCTTCTACTGCCCTTTCTCGCTACCATGGGTTCGCCAAAATCACAAACCCTATGCAAATAATTATACTTATTTTTAAATTTTATTCAATTTTAAAGGATCTATACTTTGATTTTAGTTCTAGAGTTTATTTATAAAGTTTTTTAGATTTTAGGACTTCTATAGTTTTTTATTTATTTCATGTATACTATTCCCAAGTACTATTCATGGGTACTGTTCACAGAGGCAAACTTGTTATTACAAAATTTAGGTTTAAGTTAGGATATATTGATCATTTTAATCATTGTATGGACATGAAATCTTTGAACAATATAAATTATAATATATAAGATGTGTGTTGCCTTGAGAGGGTCAATTCGGCATAATTTTAGAAATTGAGAAAGAGAAGCTTAGATTTTTGGATCCCTAGCTTGGGGTATAGTGCAGGAACCCTAGGTTTCTTTGAATTGTGCTTGTGTTTGTCTTTGTTTCTTATTGATTTTATTGTTTCCTCGAATTTCCCCCATCAGTTGGACAACTTTCTTAGTCGTTCCATCGTCAAATTTGTAAGAAACTCAACTGGAGTTTGATGAACCATCAATGTGTGTGCCTCAATAACCATTGGCCTCTAATAAAAGTTAGAACTAGACCTTTTCAAGTTAAATAGTTGGGGCGTTGAGTCTAATAGATGTATTGATGATTAAGAAGACCAATAGAATTAAAAGATGATGACAAGGTCGTTTTTAACCGAATAAGAAAGAGCAAGAAGGCAAGAGATTTCAAAGAAGACAAAAGAAGGGAAAGAAACTGGCAGTAAGTTTTGTTGAGCAAGAGGGAGAAAAGCATTTGGGTTTTGAACTGGATTTTGAGAATTTATAAGGAGAACAACAATTATTATTATTATTTTTTTATAAAAGAAGATAAATTAATAGGTTATGAAGAGCAGTATTATAGATTTTAAATGAGATCTAGAGTTTTATATTGGATGAAGAAAGAATTCAATAGTTTTGTGGCTGAAATACGGGGGTTTGAAAGAAAGAACAGTAGCATGAGCAATGCTGTCAACTGTAGCATGAACAATACTGTCAACTGTAGCATGAGCTTATATACCCCCAATATGGAGGAAAGACGAGTGAGAGATTTGAGTTTAGGAAAGGAGGATGAGGATGATGAAAGAGGATAAAGATGAAGAAAGAAAGGTGATGGTTTAGAAGAGAAAGAGATAATGAATATTTAAGAAGAAGGAAATATTGGTTACCTTGATAAGAGTTGATCCATTAAGAGTATATTCAAACCCTGCTCTGATTCCATGAAAAAAATAGAGATGGATAGAAAAGAGGCACACACTACTCTACCATGTAAACACACACAAGAGCTCCACCCTAATTCTTGTATTATACATATATAATGTTACGCATTTAGTGTGGACATATTTACCCTTATACACTATCGAAAATGACTTAACAATCTATAAACCACTTAAAATACACACAAATTACAGAATTACCTTAATTGCATTCCAACAAATGAGAGGTCAGAACTCATAATCTTTGTGTGAGTTAGGGCCATTAACATTGTTCTTTTCTTCACATGCATTCATGGTAGCAATGCAACAATAGGATCTCTAAACTTATTGGTACACATCCATTAGGTATCGGTTTATATGCGGACATAGCCCATACAGCCTGTTTTCTATCCCTTCTTTTTAAAACTTTAAAAGAAAGAAAAGGGTTATACCTGTTTTGGCTTCCTGTAACTTCCATACCGGGGTTATATTAATTTTTCTCTGCGTGTGTACTTCTATAAGCGTATACAATGCAGTTTTAATATGGAGAATCAGAGTTTTTCCTGGACCGAACATGCTCATCCAATAGTTACTCGTGTGAAAATATTCCATAGGAGAGCTCTGTATCTTTTTAGGGTAACATTGCTTCATTATCTAGAATTTTTCAACTGTCCATTTTTACCAAGGTGTGCATTTTATTTGCGTTAAATTGAGTAAGTTTCTGTGAATTTTGTGGAAACTCTACCCAATTTTATGCAACTTCATGTTCTTGTAAATTCTGTCAATTTCATGCGGTTGTTTTCTATATTGTTCTCTTTGTGCCATTCTTAAATTCATTTGTGCTGCCACTCCTTTTTTTAATCCTGTCATGATCATGTGTTGTTGAGTTGTTGACAATTTGATTCTCTTTTATGTCGTGCAGGGTGTGTTGAATGTTGTGATGGGCAATGCTCCTGAGATTGGAGATACCCTACTCGCTAGTTCGCAGGTTTGAAATGCTATACATGGGGAACCCCTTTGGCAAAAGCCCTTCGTGTGGCTACTCTTAATTTGTGTCATGTTGTAACCATGCATGATATATGCCTATCACCATCTGTCTCGTTTATATCCTTATATTCTTATTTAATCTGTCAGGTACGGAAGATTACATTTACTGGATCAACCGCTGTTGGTAAGAAATTAATGGCTGGTGCTGCTAGCACAGTTAAAAAGGTACCACAGAAAATGCACTTTAGATGGAAGTATCATTTTGATTTATTTGGTTATGTAATCAGGGCTTTGTAATGATTTGGGTAAGATTTTGATTTGGTCTTTACGAGCTTCCATTTTAGTTGTCTGCACTAACTAAAACATTGAATATGTTGTATGCATTTTAATAGTGGGAGTTTGGAAGCATGCTTTATCATTTTCCTTTTGCATGTTGTAGGATGTCTCAAATGTCGTTTAATTATTTTGACAGTGTTTTTGGCTATATAGAATAAAACCATCTATTCATTTAAGTGTTTCTAGAATTTTAAAGTAATTTATTGTCAAATATTGTGAATTGATGTGAAATTTCTTTAGCTACCACATCAAGTACAGGCTTTTAATATCAATGTCGACGGAGGATATTATTGATTTTCACCTGTTTGTTTTCTTCTTTGAGTTGACTTTGCTTGAGATATTGATGTGTTGCACCTTTTATAGTTGGAACTTAAAGGACACTAGGAAGACTGCTTGAGATATTGATGTGTTGCACCTTTTATAGTTTGAACCAGCGTTTTAAAAAACATCGAGTCGAACCGGACTCGCCCGGTTCGACTCGGAAGTCGAACCGGACTCGCCCGGTTCGACTCGGAAATCGCGAAAAAGGGACCGGATCGGTGAAAAAATCGGAAATCGTCCGGTTCTAGAGAGAACCGGACGATTCCGCACAGTGACTCGCCGATTCACTGTGCGGAATCGGCGAGTTCGTGAAGAACACGGGTTGCACAGTGTTCTTCATGGATTCTTTGAAATTTGTCATTTTTTGATCATTTTTCTTGTTTTTTTTGGCATGTGATCTGATTTGCAGGCTGTAAACAGCTTTATTCAGCTTTTTCAAGGATTAAATGGTGGAAAAATTTGTCGTTTTTGGATCACGAAAAATTCGGTGTTTAGGGTTTCCGCCTTTTCTAAAATTTCATGCCAAATAGGGCATGAATCTTTCAAAATTTGTAGGCATTTTGATCTTAAAGCTGTGAATCAAAACCTTTTGTTACTAATTTGTGATAATCGTTGAGAAAAACAGAGTTTTTTGGAGATTGAAGGCTTCGGTTCACAAAATCAGGTAAGAACTTTGGGTTTTTTTTTTTTCCGCCATTTGATTTATTTCACGGCATATTTTGAACATTATGA